GCTCTTCTTTGTCTTGACACACCTGCCTGTGACAGGGGAGTCTATTTCTGTTCCCACTGACTTTGGGTAGGCCACTGACTGTGGTGAAAGTGAAATGCATGACTTCTGAAGCTGCGTCCATAAAAACCTATATAGCTTAGCTAGGTGTGGCGCCTCACACCTGTAATCCCAGCTACTCAGGAGGCTGAGGCCAATATCAACAAAAGTGATGTACAGATTTATTGCAATCCCGACGTAAATACGACATTCTTCACAAAACTAGAAAAAACATTCACATAGAACCAGAAGAGACTTAGAATAGCCAAAGAATATCTCAAGCAAAGAAAGCAAAGCAGGAGACATCACAATCCCAACTTCAAGTTATACTACAAAGCTACAGTAATGAAATAGCACAGTAGTGGCGCTGGAACAGACATGTAGATGGATGGAACAGAAGATGCAGAACCATGCACCTTCAACCATCTGACTTGGTTTTTTTGAGATAGGGTCTCACTGTGCAGTTCAGGCTGGCCTTGAACTCACCGTGTACCCAGGCTGGCCTCGAACTCACTCTGTACAAAAATCAAATCAAAATGGATTAAAGACCTAGATATAAAAACAAACTTTGAAATTGCTAGAAGACAATATAAGGGAAACACTTGAAGCCATAGGCACAGGTAAGGACTTCCTGAACAGAACACCAATAGCACGAGAAATTACACCAAGAACCAACAATTAAAACACTTCTGCACTTCAAAGGAGCCAGTCACCAGAGTGACGAGACAGCCTACAGAATGGGAAAAAAATTTGCTAGCTATTCTTCTGGTAGAAGACTAACATCTGGAATATACAAAGAACTAAAAAACATTAACTCCCCCCAAACCAACAATCAATCAAAAATGGGCAAATGAACTAAATAGGCCCATCTCAAAAGAAGTACAAATGGCCAATAAGCACATGAAAAAATGCTCATCATCTTTAGCCATTAGGGAAATGCCAATCAAAACAGCTGTGAGATTCCACATCTGCGCAGTCAGAATGGCCATTATCGAGAACTCAAAAAACAGCAAGTGCTGATGATGTGAGGGAAAGGGAACCTTTCTACATTGTTGGTGATGATGTAAACTAGTAGAACTGCTAAGGAAATCGGTATGGAGATTCCTCAAAAAAACTAAAAATTGAAATTCCATCTGACCCAGCCATACCGCTCCTTGGTATATTCCCCAAAGAATTAAATACATGATACCATGGTGATACATATATACCACATACATACCCATGTTTATAGCTACACAACAGCCTAGATGCCATCAACAGATGAATGCATAAAGCAAATGTGATATATATATATATATATATATATATATATATCGATAGATAGATAGATATGCACAACAGAATTTTATTTGGCCATAAAGAAGAGAGTGGCTGTCAGTTGAGGGCAGCCTGCATTCCTTGTCATGTGGCCACCTCCACCTTCCAACCCAGCCATGAGGAATATCTCTCATGTCAAATCAGTCTCATGCTTCTAGTCCCTGACTTCCTCTGTCTTTGATCTCCAGACCCAGGTTTAAATGGCTGGTTTAGAGGGTAATCAAAAGCCTTTTCACTGACAGCTGAGTGAGGAAGTTATGAGTTTACTCCCTGAGCAAGGGCTGCTATATATATTACGGTACTGTTATTTAAATGGAAAAGAAGATTTTAAACTTACCTTCAAATGTTTTGCTTTTTATTACTCAGTTATTGATTAAACAATGCTAACTAAAAAATAAATAAATAAATAAATAAATGGCTGGTTTAATTAGGCCATGTCCATGTGGATGATCTCCCTATCATAAATCAGCCAGTTTGAGACCTCAATTACACCTGCAAAGTACCTTTTGTCACAATGGCCATCAATTCCACTCACTCTCAAGGGAAGATTATACAAGCGTGAGGTCACTGAGTGTTACAGCTTATGGTATCTGAATGTGTCACCAAAGCCTCATAAGCTCATAGGATGGGCTTTTGGGAGTAACTGGATCATGGGCCTGTGACACTGGATTAATCTGCTGATTAGTTTAGTATAGTTCTGGTTGTGGATGATGGATTTACTGAAGAAAAAAGACCCACCCTGGGTGTGAACAGCACCAACCAATAGGCTCGTAACCTGGATGAAATAAAAAGGGAAAGCAGAAAGAAGTTGCTCTGTGTTGTGGTTTGTGTCTAGATGTCCCCTCAAAGCTTCATGCAGTCATGAAGGGGGGGGGGGTATCAGAGGTGGCTGAATCTAGAGTTTGTGATTTTTCTTTTTTTGGTACTGGGAATCAAACTCAGAACCTTGCGCTCTCCAGGCAGGCACTTATGCCACTGAGCTATATCCCCGGCCCCTAGAGTTTGTGATTGATTCATGGTCTAATGCTGGGATTAAGGGTAAGTGGTACACCTGCCCTAGGGCTGGGGACAGAAAGAGGCTTGTCCCTACTTACTCTCCATTGTTGCTTTTGCTGTCTTCTGCTGCCATGAACTGTTGCCCCTCTGCCAGTGTGCCACCCTGCCTTGGAGCCAGCCAATTATGTAAGCTAAAATAAACTTCCCAGCCGGGCATGGTGACACATACCTGTAATCCCAGCACTCGGGAGGCTGAGGCAGGATGATTGAGGCAAGTTGGAGGCAGCCTGGGCTACAATGTGAGTTCAAGGCCAGTCTGAACTGCAGAGCGAGACTGTTTTAAAAAGACAAAAAAATAAATAAATTAAATTAAAATAAACTTCCCTCCTTTAATTTGTGGCTGTTGGGTGTTTTGCCCCAGCAAACAGAAAGTAATTTAGACACTGGTGTCATCTTAGAATTCTACTGAATACACAGTTTCTACTTCACTCTTTTGTATATTTGATCTTGAAGCTCACCCACTATGCTGTGAGGAAGCCCAAGCAGCCTGTGGAGTGGCCAATGTGGAGAGAAACTGAGCCACTGACTCCCCACCAACAACCAGCATCAACTTTCCTCCCCTGTGAGCATTTGGAAAATGGATCTGCTGGCCCCAAGCTGAGCAACCCCGCTAGTGATACACGGGGCAGGTGAGGTGTCCTACTGAGTCCTGCACAACTTGCAAATTTCTGAGTGAAATCAAGGACTGCTGTTGCTCTAAGCCACTAAATTTTGGGGTGATTACACAGCCATCAGTAATCAAAACCAACTAATGACCTGTATATGATCGATAAGTACTGAAAGCCTCATCTACAAGGAGGAATACCTTATACTTCTTTTAGGATGGTGAAGTAGGTAGCAGTGGTAGGCCTGAAATGTCATTCAATACATCCTTGCTGATTTGTTTATTCAAACTTATACTGAACTGATTTGTACTAGTATAGCCATCATCATATTTGGAAATCCAGCACTTTAAAAGGGTTATCTAGGGCCAGGGGTATAGCTCAGTGGCACAGCGCCTGCCTGGCAAGTGCAAGGTTCTGAGTTCAATTCCCAATACCAAAAATAAAGGGTTATCTAAAAATTATGCTACTTTTCTTTTGAGCAATGGCTATCTTTTTAAACGATATGTGTAAAATATTTGGGATGTAAATGAATACAGATAATGAACATTAATTTTAAAGCTACAATGAACTTGTTTGTAAATCACTAAAGTATTAAATATTTGGAAGTATATACAATTATTTTTCAATTACTATTTTTATTGGAAAATGTAGAAAACATTGGAGAAATAATCACTAATGTTATTATTAAAGAATTTTCATCAATAGATTAGGTGAAAGTCTGCTGGAGAACAAAATATCCACTGTCAAAGTGTCTACCTCTCCCTGATTATCTGTTGATCACTGAGGGGAAAGGTACATTTACCACAATGAAGAAACCTCTTGGACAACTCTGTAGTCAAGGATCAAACTTACCACTGATGACAGACACAGTGACATGGGGGGCTTCCCAACCTGATACACTAAAAACATCTGTGTAGTTATTTTGCAAAAAAAAAAAAAAAAATTAACCTGAATCAGATTATGAGAAAGCCGACAAATCCAAATTAAGGGCATTCTGAAAAACCACTGGCTTGGATTCTTCAAAAATCTCAATGCCAACGACTGGGGATTTAGCTCAGTGGCACAGCACCTGCCTGGCAAGCGCGAGGTCGTGAGTTCGATTCCTGGTACCGGAAAATAAGCAAACAAACAAACAAAATGTGTACTATAAAAATCTCAATGCCACAAAAGACATAAACAGCTAGGCAACTCGTCTAGATGAAAAGATACTAACCCAAGGAATTAACAAAACTTGGATTCTGACTGAATCGTGAATCTCCTCTCTCCAACAAGAAAAACAGTCATAAAACTATAAAATTCAAATATGCACTGCATGGTAGATAATAGTACCGTACTAAACATTAGTTATCAATGAGCCGGGTGTGGTGGTGCACGCCTGTAATCCCTGCACTCGGGAGGCTGAGGCAGGAGGATTTTTGTAAAGTTCGAGACCAGCCTGGGCTACAAAGTGAGCTCATGGCCAGCCTGAACTGCATAGCAAGACCCTGCCTCAAAAAGACAAAAAAATAAAAAAATAAACAAAATAAATAAACGTTACTTATCTGCATGGACTGTGTTTAAATAGGTAAAAGTCCTTGTTCTTAAGAGACATGATAACGTATTTAGGGGCTGTGCGTTCCAATAACATTCGGGTAACTGTGGAAGGACCAAAGTTGTGTATCTGGTTGAAGGAAGTTTATGTCAGCATCCAGTTGGACTGGACGAAGGAAGCAAAGTTTCTTCTGCATAATGAGGAGAGCAGGCAGCCAGCTCGCCTCCCTGGGTGGCAGGTGAAGCCTGAGTGCCTTAAAGTGGCCGCAGCACCATAGGGAAGGAAGTGGGAGGCTGTGGTTCTAACTCTGCCACAAGAACAAACACACAGACACGCATGCCAGTATGCTCCGGGCACTTTAAGATGAGGAAGCCAAGCCCTCCCGTCCCGATGCCACACATGACCAGGGCGCATGCGTGGTCTGAAGCACTTTACGGCAGTCACGACAGGCGCGAGGCCTCGGCACGTGGCACAGTTGGCCCCCGCACTCGAAGGCATTGTGGGCTGGCAGCGCGACAGTTGATCCTCCTCCCGCTGGGCGGACATGGCCGGCGTGGGGTCTCTGTTTCAGAGGGCGAGAGCCTACGTGAAGACCAAGGAGTTCCGGGACTACCTGACCAGCACGCACTTCTGGGGGCCTGTGGCCAACTGGGGCCTTCCGCTGGCTGCCTTTAACGACATGAAGCGGCCGCCCGACATCATCAGTGGCCGCATGACAACGGCGCTCTTCTTCTACTCCCTGGCTTTCATACGCTTCGCCTACCGCGTGCAACCCCGAAACTATCTGCTGATGTCGTGCCACTGCGCCAACGTGGTGGCACAGAGTGTGCAGGGCTCCCGCTACCTGCGCTACCACTATGGCGGCGGCGCCGC